ACATGTGCGTTGTCTCGCTAGCAACTTTTGGATCTGATGTCTGGCGGCCAGGGTCCAAACGCCCGACCATACGAGGAATGGTCACATCATCTGCCTCCAACCTCTGCAGCATGATTGACCGAGCTAACCTGATGGAATTTCGGGCTGCACTTCCAGTGATAAGTACAACACCAAACGTAGTCGTTCACAGAAAAGGGGGAATCCCGCTGGCAAAGGTTATACTAGAGGGAAACCGTCTCCGGCTTTCGGCAAGGCTTAAGACCCTTGACGATCGACATCCTTTGAGGATCCGCGCTTCCGTGTGCCCGAATTTCGGCAGCCAAAAATTCAAAAAGACCGCCAAAACCTCAGGCAGACCAGAAATCCAGATTTCACGATTACAGCGTGCTTACCGAGAGCCTCCGCAAGCAGAAGCCCCTGAAAGTCTGACGCCGGTGGTTTAATCTAGGAAATCAGGCTCAAAGTCGATGGAACGCGAAGATTGCGTTAGAAGGATTAGCGTCGTGCCAGAAACGGACATCTGCGCATACTCGGATGGGTCATCGGAAGGACATGGACGCTCCGCCTGGGGTTTCGTTCTGAAAAAGGATGGGAAACTCATCGGCAAAGGAAGTGGGATCAAGCACGGGGGAGAGGTGCTGGATGCAGAGATAATAGGTGCAAGGAAGGCTCTGGAGGCCGCACTGGAGCTCTTGGAGAACGAAAAGTACAGGAAAGTAGGAGGGTCGCAGAAAATCCACGTGTTTCTAGACAGCCAGCAGGCTGTAAGCGCACGAACGACAGGCTCGTCCTAAATCAGCGTTGAAGATGTACGCAGACTCCGTGCATTAAGTAACGTGGCAAAAGTATTGGTAAAGTGGGTTCCAGGACATGCAGGAATTCAAGAAAATGAAGAGGTAGACGCCATGGCCCGTGCAGCACTTCGAGAATGGCCTAGCCTGGATACTCAACCAGGATCCAGCACTCTGGCACATCTTCGAGGCCTCATGAATCGCAGACGGCAGAGATTGCTGGACAGTTGGTGGGAAGAGGCCTGTCCGCCTAAATACCGCCAACTCGACCTACAGGTGCGGAGACGCAAACCACCTGAACTGTCTCTCTCTAGGCACCTACTCCGGGCACTAATTACAGTACGAACAGGTCACGGCAATTTTGCGGCATACCATCGCCGTTTTAATAATCCACACGCTCCTATGGAGTGCTCTTCCAGGAAGGAAACTACTCCAACCCACTTCACCTACTGTAGCCGTGACGCACAACAAACGCATAGGCTCAGAAAGTCAATGTCCCACACTGAATTTATCAAAAAGCTTCTCGGTCCCAAATGCCATGATAGCTTCAAATTATTTGCGGAGGAAACTGGCTGTTTTGATAGCCAACCCGCCCACTCATCTACTGCTCTCAGCGGGGATCAGATAAACTTGTCATTGCCATAACGCATGACACGAAAGGGAACGAAGCGAGAAGTGTCGTTTCTCGGGGGAAATTCTTTTTTTTTGTACTTGGATTTAGGGCTGAAGGATGGGGTCTCGATTTCGGAGTCGGAGTAGGTGGTGTCTTTTGAGTTATAATTTACCTTCTACTTTTTCTGTAGCGGGCCTCGCGGTTGGAATGAGTTGGGCCTGTAAGCAGTGATCCTCGCCGGCTCCACCAGTCTGGTACTGATAGTGGACCTAGAGCTTTAGCTTAGGACTTTAATATAAAAAACAAAAACAAAACAGAATCGTACAACTCTTTACTGAATCATTACGATCGATCGTGAAACCACACTGTAGTCTATCAAACAAGTATCTCATTTATAGATTCTAGGAGTCTTCTATAGTCATTCACTCAGTCAGGACTATAATACAAATCTAAAAAAATCCAAATGAAACTACAAGCTGAACTCCATCCCCATAACGCCTTATGTAATCATAGTATCTCAGTTTCAACCACAGTCAGATACATCCTATTTTTTTGTAGCGTCATCTTAATCCATTGTACAGCCTGTGAGCATAATGAAAAACTACATGCAACTCAGATGTAAAGTTTCTGGTGGAAGGAAATTTGCTACATTTAAACCGGTTAATCAGGGTGGCAGACTGCAGGTCGGACTATTTTGTAGTTTCTGGGTGCTTTTGAATTTGAAATCTTTAATGTGACAGGAAGAACCTAACATCTGTTTAGACGTGACACGGGTAGATTGGCTCTGAGAGCTCATTGCTAGCTACATGACCGGCGGTGAAGCCAGAAGCGACAAAAGAAAAGAAGGAAAAAGGTAAGAATATTAAATGTCTGAGTTACGGTGCCCTGCGCCGCATCCCTATCTTACACACTCATCTCCTCTCGGGTCAGAAACAATCCTAGCGTGGTTACTTCCCACCCTGTTCATTCTTCGGCAGACTGTAACATCTGCTTATAGTTAGGAATTGAAAAAACTTCTGCCACAACTCTTCCACGAGTTTTTGACCTCGCATTTTAACTAGTCTCCGTAGTGCCGCAAAGATTAGATTTTGAGATTCTCCACTGAGCAAAGTTGTGGTAAGTGACGAATTTTTAAGAGATCTCGAGGCCGATTTGGCCAGCTCATCGGCCTCTTCATTGCCTTCAATCCCGACTTGACCAGGTATCCAGCGTATTTTGACACGCTTGTTTTGTCTCAGCAGTGAAAACTTGTCCACCACTGCCTGCGAGGAACTAGATCTTCCTCTTTCGAGCACCCGAGCAGCCACTTGATTTTCCAGAAGAATGCGAATCGGTGGGTCTTCTCTCACTGTTAGTGCAGCTTCCAAGGCTTTCGTGGCGCCTACAATCTCCGCATTGAATACCTCTGCTCCGGGAAGTTGACCGGAACCACTCCTGACTAACTTGCCTCCTTAGTATACTACATACCCCTAGGCTGATTGTCCAGGGCCCGACGAAGATCCGTCAGAGAAAGCACAGATTGTATTGTCTGGCAGGGAAGCTAATCATCGCTTTATGCTTCCAGAGAGTGGTTCCGGTCAACTTCCCGGAGCAGAGGTATTCAATGCGGAGATTGTAGGCGCCACGAAAGCCTTGGAAGCTGCACTAACAGTGAGAGAAGACCCACCGATTCGCATTCTTCTGGAAAATCAAGTGGCTGCTCGGGTGCTCGAAAGAGGAAGATCTAGTTCCTCGCAGGCAGTGGTGGACAAGTTTTCACTGCTGAGACAAAACAAGCGTGTCAAAATACGCTGGATACCTGGTCAAGTCGGGATTGAAGGCAATGAAGAGGCCGATGAGCTGGCCAAATCGGCCTCGAGATCTCTTAAAAATTCGTCACTTACCACAACTTTGCTCAGTGGAGAATCTCAAAATCTAATCTTTGCGGCACTACGGAGACTAGTTAAAATGCGAGGTCAAAAACTCGTGGAAGAGTTGTGGCAGAAGTTTTTTCAATTCCTAACTATAAGCAGATGTTACAGTCTGCCGAAGAATGAACAGGGTGGGAAGTAACCACGCTAGGATTGTTTCTGACCCGAGAGGAGATGAGTGTGTAAGATAGGGATGCGGCGCAGGGCACCGTAACTCAGACATTTAATATTCTTACCTTTTTCCTTCTTTTCTTTTGTCGCTTCTGGCTTCACCGCCGGTCATGTAGCTAGCAATGAGCTCTCAGAGCCAATCTACCCGTGTCACGTCTAAATAGATGTTAGGTTCTTCCTGTCACGTTAAATATTTCAAATTCAAATCCAATCAAATCAAATTCCATTGAATATATTCAAAATAGCGAGACAATGACGATAACTTATCATTCATTCTTTATCTTCTATCCCTTTTGGCATCTCATGAAAAAATACCAAAGAAATGTTACGTAAACTATAGACCATTGTCCAACACGGGATGTTGGTGAATTTCCTGGGGCCATTTGTCGGGAATGATAGCTTTCTTGGGGTGAAGAATGAGCCACCTTAATTTCACAGTTGTGCTTGCAAATTAAGTCCAAGACACGAGTAATCTGTTTTAAAGCTGAGTCATCCATTCTTTTTTTTTCTGAAATTTTCTCGTGATTCTAGCCGATCTAAATTAAATAATAATAAAAAAAGAGATATTCCAACGAGGTAATCCCTTTGGCGCCAAGGCTAATGACTGACTCCTCAACGCACACGTAATACAATCTCGACTCTTTCATATCTCGGTTGAGATTTGAGATAGTTTAGGCATGCTGAGCTTGGAGGGCCGAACATGAAGTGATACATGGATTTAATATGAAACATCAGAGGTCCATCTGCCTTTGCCTTTACATAAGCGACAATAATTGTGAAATCCACATCAATCCAAGCCCAACGCCTTTGCCCCATTGACACCTGACTCTTCTTCCATATAGGCAGGCTGTATCCCTAATTGAAGTGGTATTTACAAATGTAATCCAAGATATGGAAGCACCAAACGATAACAGAGTTATCCAACATATATTCAAAGCACTGATTGTCTGTCATGGCTAGATAGCTAGATGAAGTTTAATGATATCAGAAAAAAGAGACTACATACCTAGCCACTTGAGACACGTTCTTAAGAGCCACGATAAAATAGATTTTGGTCTTAGTCTCCCATTCAAATCAAATGAAGATCATCTAAGATTAGATTCGGGACTTCAAAATTAGAAGCCATAGATTACAGTATGGGCATAAAAACCATCCTTGAGCTAGATCTTGTAAGGCCAAACCATAATCCTTGCTGAACGAAAAATCTGGAATTATTAAGGCGGCTGGTAATCCATTGAGGAGTGAAGTGGGTGATTTGCTGCTAATTCCATAAATACGTAGGAACTCTTACGGCCTGACTCGATTGCTTAATCTATTGATTTAGGTATCTCGAATTAGTCACTTGCCGGTCTCTACATTGTTACGTATCTAACCAAAATTAATTTGCAAATGAAGTTTTGCAAAAACCGAAAAAGGTATCTTAAGAAGTCAGACTTCTAACACGTACACTCGACGCCACATTTTTGACACTACTCATTTCACGATTCGACTTTTCGATCTGATCTTTTAGTCAAGATGTGGATTAAATTCTGCATCTCCCTCTTAATGTTCGGGTTAATTCATCAAGTCAAATGTATAGATACACCATACTCAGACATGTACCTTCCAGATAGAACCAATGGATTTTTATGTCAAAAAGATCTTATAGCCATCGATCATGTACGAGATATAGCAAAAAAAGCGTTCAAGTCACTTTTCTTTGACCATCGGTTCCAAAGATTTCCGAAATTATTTGAAGATACACATCTCTTTAATGTAAGAACAGACATTTTCTTCTCATGGCCTGCTAAGCCCGATGGGAAACTTTACATCAGTGGTAAATGAAACATAAAGATTTCCTTTTCTGTACACAAAGACTGCAACTGAACCAGGGACTAGGGAATCCAGGGAAACTTCGCCTCATTATCAATATCAGGGGTCAAATCATGGGTATGGTAATTATCAACTCCAAGCAGCACAATAGCCAAGTCAGTATCGAGAAATGTAAACCAGTACGCAGTTCTAATACCGAAGGAAATAACGAAAGTAGAATCTTGGATGAATATTGGAGTTTAGCTTGTCCCATACTTGGTTATAAATGTGGCTTGAAATATATTCCAAAATCCATGATAAAGAGTGGAGATGATTCAGACTCAAATTATTACTTTCAAAACGCACTGGAGGCCAACATCAGGCCCGATACGTTCGAGAAATACAGTGGCAACTAATTCACCGGATGTAATCTTTATGTTTACCCTCTACATTAAATTTTATCTAGGAAAAAAATTCTCGGTATTTTTATTCCCCAATCCTGGTTTCCTCAGAACTCTAATATTTCTTCGCTAGTCCGAAATGGTCCATTTCGTGTTGTTTTTAACATGGAAGATCTCAAATTCAAGGGAATAATCAACATAAAAGACGCTGAAGAGAAATGTGTAACCGTATTGGATTTGGCATCGGCTTCATCCGATGCAATTTATAGCTCATCCTCTATATTAGATCTAGAGAGAATGCCAGAAAAAATTTGGCCCGATACTTGCTTTGGACATAAGTTCAAATACAAAACCATGTGGCTTTATATAGAGTTCGCCTTGAAAAAGTGGCCAGTGTATGGAGATGGTGAAAAAATCAATTTTCCAATCGTAGATGAGAATGGATTACTTTTCTGGCCAGTTAGAATTCCGGAAACTCATAATAATCATAGTAAATACCATTGATAAATTGTATGAAAATCCGCTAATTTTATAGATCTAGGCCTCACCTACGCCTTCGCGATAGGTCATAATAAAAATCTCAATACTTACGGTTTGTACCAAGCAGAAGCACGCGATGGTTTACTTAGTAATTTTAAACTATGTCTAAATCTTCCTCTTAAAGAGATTCGTAGTCTACAGGAGAAGCTGGGCCCGGCTGCATGGCTCTAGTTATGCCGCCTTTTTAGTTGGCTATCCAAATCTTTCCCATCATACCTGAAGCGTTAAACAGGTTGTTCCACTATGTAACAATTTCAAAATAGAAAGCTTGGGCACTTTCACGATGAAGGATAATTTATTCATTGACTGAATATCATAAATAACTACATGTAAAATGCTTAACTTATTTACGTGACCCTCTCATTCAGAAAGCTTTTAGATATCCTCCAGACGGGCCTCCATTATCTGGGTATAAGGAGGTCTCAACCTCGATTTATTCTCTTGACTAAATTTGCTTCACACAGGAATAGCTCGAGGTAGCCTAGCAATCCAAATTCGAAGCGAGCACATCGGGCTTAATTCGTATTTGCACAGAAGAAAAGTATCAGGAGCTTATCACCCAAGCTGTCTGTGTGGCTACCAATCACAAAATCTCAAGCACATGATCATGTCCTGCCCCTAGTGGTCAAGTGGTAGAGGTGAGATCTGGAGACAAGCCCGAAATCGCTCCTTTGAAGCAATGATCAACGATCCTAGCGATATGAAAAGAATCACAAGATGTATTTTTAATTATGGTTGGATAGAACACTTCCGCATGACATATGCTGCCAAAATGCTGCTCAGGGAACGAGACGGAATATGTACAAGGTTGGGCTCGTTACAGGGGACGTGATTGATATACACAGACGACGTTACAGTGTAATTGGACTTCCTGATGGATAAATTTCAAAGATACAAGTCAGAAACCTGGGGGGTTCCTCCAATGTAAACATATAGATAGGTTTACGGCCACCTGCATGAGCCCATAGGGCGCCAAATCAAGATAATGAAATCAAATCAAATTTACATAAGAATATAAATAAAAGTTTTGTTAGAATTTAGAATAATTGGGGCTATCATGTGGGCCACGTTGCTATTATAAACGTGACTGCAAATTCAATACTTAGTTTCACTTCGGTAGTTGCTTGAATCAATCCGCTCTACAACCTCAATGACTGAGGGGTCATTAATTCCTTAATAGGTCTAATATCTCACGAAAACACACGCGATAGCGACTAACGGGACCAACTGTGAGCATAACATCCCCAAGAGTATCCATCGTCCTGCTCCTATATAGCCTAGTTATTATAACAGTTGCATACATGTAAAAAATCTTGAAGATCTAAACCTATATTTGGATATTTTGTTCGTTGACTTCTCTTAAATGTCTTTCACATTTTTTCCCGCGGGTCCTCGACTCAACCTTAACACGCACCACCTCGTCTCAGCGGCTGAATAAGGAATGATTCTACATACAAACGGAGGCTTGCCTCATTAACAAGTGGCCATCGCCCACTATCAAATTTTACAAGGAAATGGTTAAACTGTCCTTTGTGTGACGGGCTGTGCCCGGATTGGGACTGGTCACTAGGACCACTCCGTCTCCAAGGTAAGGTAGTGGCAAAGCAACGCTCCTGGATAGACGAAAGGGGACTTTAAGGGGGTATTAAAGGGGGTACGTGCCACATGGGGGAGTACGATACAAGGAAGAGAGCCAGGGAGAAAGGATGATTCTCAGGGGCCAAGGAAGAGAGCCGGAAGAAAGGATTAATTCTCATATGGCTAAAGGGGGGAATTAATACGAGCGTACGCGAAAGACATAAAGGACAGGATACGATACGGCGATTTAGCCTTCCCCAAGTAAAAATTATTCATTTCCATTGTGTTAACGACTTCAAGTACTTCTGATTTCCTTAAACCATTACACTTTGCAGCTATTGATGGTGACATGAATTAGGATGATGATTGTGATTGAGACAGATTTCTATATAGTTTATAGTACATTATATGCTCCGGTTCATATACCTCGAGCCAAGCAACCAGGTTATGTTCCTCCAGATCTAGATTCATCAGAATAATTACTTACTTAGTAAAATTCTCCTAGTCTCAGTTGTGTGTTTAGGATCTTGACTAGGTTTCTAGTAACTAGTCAATGATGTTTCTCTTATCACTGAGACATACTTATGGTTGATTCAACAGGTACAAACGACGAATCTTGTCTATACATGACGTTGTGATATAGTCATGATCGTTTGAACAATATCAACTCACGAATGAATCATGTCTCTACATGACAAATTTATAACGCAACGTTAACCAACAAGGAGAAAAATGGTGATAACATACAAAGCTTGGGTCGTGAATTGTGGGCGGCTGTTACTCCAATTAGGTTTTATGACTTAAAGGAGGAAGGGTCTCTCTTGTACATGCTGTGACTAACATTTTCGAGGTTTCTTCGACTCTGGAAAGTTTGTAGGCGCCAAGGCCAAGGTTTCCATTAATTAGTAAGGAGGACTATATCTGTCAATGAGTCGTCGGCGCTTTCCAATACCCCAGATGGCACAATGGCGTTGGGACTAGCTATTATAAAACAATCACGCATTGTCAAGATTTATCCGACATCCCACTATGACCTTCGGGAAATGGTTCAAAATAGGCTAAGCTGGCAGAGTGTGACCATCCTTTGTGTAGCCAAGTCTTTGGCGTCTAAATGGCCAACGCCTTCAAATGCCCCAACTCAGTATCATTGTCTTCAGGTTTAATCATGATGTCGATATTAGGAGAGTTCCGCACTTAGTGGTTTCTGCAATTCTGCCGGTTGCCATACACGCGCAAACGATCTTCCTGTCGTCGGCTGGAGAGGGCAGATAATGAATTGATGTTGAGCTACAGTCATTCTAGGTTTACCCAAATTTACTGATAGCATGACTCGGGTCGGAGAAGTTAATGCTGATACATGATGTGTTGTTTGTCATTACACAGGTTACTCTTCGACAACTTAGTAGTTTTAGTATTTCGTGTGGAAGTAACATTGTGATGAGGTCTTCGCTCAATTTAAGGGTACAAGGCTGAATAGTCAGCCTCGTGTAAGTTTATCACAGATGTATCACTATTGTAGTTTAAACAAGAACATCTTTATCCCAACGTACTTTGTTATCTGATCAGATACCGAGGCACAGCCTATCTAACATGATGTGTATCAAGGAAAATATCTATTTGTTCGGACTTTACATAATTCATACTTCAAATTGGGTTTGTATTCATGTTTCCGATGATATTCTCATCTTATCTGTCCTGAGCAGGTTTTGGTATGTTTCAGTGGTAGCATTATTGCCAGCGAGTTATCTAGTAGGGTTTCAAACGAGGAAAACTATATATTTTAGATACTAGATAGCTAGAGAATAGAGAAGCAACCCTTCGATGATTTGTTACCTTCTACTCCCATTTCCAAAATTGTCCAACAGGGGAAAAGGCTGCTTCAAGAATATGATCAGTCAAGCACTTGTGAGAGGTGGTACTGTTTGAGAGAGCTAAATAGGAGGTAAAATTATCTTTGGCCTGTGGGTAAAAAGACCTGCATGTCCGAAATATCCATAGACTAAGAAATGACAATAAATAGTATAAAAAATGTCGTCTCTATCCCCTCTATGCAAACGTTACATCTAATTTACCAAGCAAACTCCTGAATTACCTTTTCGAAGTCCAGAACATTAAGGTTGGATAATAAGCCTCACACACTTCCTTTGAATTCGTATCATTATTTCTAGATAAGTAACAACAATAATCTGTTACTGTTGTGATGTACGACATTGATGGGCATGCCATCGGTGACAATTTCTCACGTGGACTCAGTTGAGTGAAATGTAAGACTAGTAAAGGGTCAGCCGAGGCCCACATAAAGGGTTATGTATGCTCTTGTACCATATATCTAGACACAGGCTTTACCAGTAATACCTCGTCTTCTCCATAGATTGCATACAAATTTAATCTTCTCGCATTCCTACTTTTTCTAACCCTAGTATTATTGATAACCAAACTCCAAGACGTCAAACATAACCTCATAATCACAATATTTAACCTCTGCACTACTTCGCTGTGAAAAACAATTGACCCTGTAAACCCTATAGCGCAGCTGGACCGAGAATTCTCTGTATATTATGAACATGGTCGTGAGAAAATTTTAGACATAGTTCGGCCGTAATGAAGTTACCCACCCGCACCTTCGCACGATATATGCCGTAGGTAGCTTGTTCGATATCATAGCCTATCGCGAACGCATCATAGATTGCTATATTTGTTAGTTAGGACTCTTTCCAAATAATTTGTCGCGAATATTTACAGTTATCATGACTTTCTGGAGTTCTCATGGGCCAAAGCTTAACACTATTCTTCAGTAAATAAGGGAAATTGAGTTTTCTCCCATTCAATTTTGACTCCCACTCTTTCAAGACGAACTCTAAGTAAAGCAATATTGTTTTCGTCTTAAACTTATATCCAAAACAAGTATCGTGCCAATAACTTTCCTGCATAGTCTCGAGATTTAATACGGAGGACGGGCTGTAAGTGATACCTGATGAAGTAGATGATAAATCCCATAAAGTTACACATTTTTCATTCCTATCTTCTAAATTTATAATTCCTTTCAACTCAGAATTTTTCATATCAAAAATAACACGAAAAGGACCAGGCGCCCCTAGCGAGCAAACGTTAGAGGCTTGCAAAAACCGATTGAGAGAAATAAAAATACCATTAGTGATCTTATCAGTTAAGGTTTGATGCACTGGGAAAGAGTACAGATCATCTCCTAGAAAATCATCGCCCATAAATTTTTCAAGGTTAGCAAGCTTGGCCCTTCCTGTCGATTTGTGTAGGAAATTACTATTTGAGGCTATTTCCATTAATCCATCAACCGTGGACACTGAAATGAATTTTAAGCCACAACTGTATCCAAACGTCGGTCTAGTTACACTCCAGTTTTGATTCAAAAAGTTTTCTTCATCATCTTCTTCTTGAAGAGACCTGCGTACCGGATTGCATTTCTCGAAACTAATATTATGGCCTTGGATCTTGGAGTTAATCATCATCAAACCCATAATTTGACCTCTAATGTTTATGATTAGGCGAACTCTCCCTGGTTTCCCTGGTCTTTTATTCAGTCATTTTGTTAAAAAAGAGAAGAAAAATTTATAGGTTTGGTTTATTACCGTGATAGATTTTCCCAGTGGACATAACAGGCCACGAAAGAAGGATGTCTGATTTAACATTAAATAGATGCGTATCCTCAAATATTCTCGGAAAATGTCGATAATATTCTTTAAAGAAAGTTGATTCCATAGCATTTTCAGCTGCTTCTCGTAGATGATGGATTGTAAAGAAGTCTGTTCGACATACGAAGCCATTGGTTGCAACTGGAAGGTACATGTCCGAGTATGGGACATTTATACCGCTGGTTTGATAAATGAATCCGAATATTGCAACGGAGATGCCAAACAATAACCGCATCTTCACTGTAATGCCAGATAGAAGACTTGGATCATGAGTTAAGGAATGTTCCGATTTCCAAAAGCGAGCGCCTGTGATCAAAAACAGCGATTCTAGACGCCTTTCCCGAACATCAAAAGATTTAGGATTAATTTCAATCTCAGTTAGAAAGTTTAATTGATCAATACCGCCAAGTGATCAATTTGAATTAGCTCAACCAAATGTTCAAGCATTTGAGTCAGGTCATTAATGACCCTTTACACTCATTAAATTAGCAGTAAAAGACATACTTTCTTGCTCATCGTACTATCACTCGTTTCATTTTAACAGATTGCATGTCTGCGGAAGGATTTTGTTCTGCTTCACAAAATCTAGGTTTTTAATGAATTGTTCTGTGAACTACCCTGTAATCTGCGCCTTATTGTGAAGTTTTGAGTCTGAGTTGAGTTTTAATTTTCATAATTTAGCTCAGGAGTAGGAGAGAGAATTGAGATTAGACGGCAACACAGTCCTATGTTGGGTGGCTAGGGATGTAGTTTACTGATTCTGGTGAAAAATAGAAAACAGTTCAAGAAATACTTTCATAAAAGAAGTGGTGGCACAAGTACGATAGGTTACTTAAAATATTTTATCTATTGATATGGTTTTACTGTTACACTTGAATCTATCAGTATCAATTGTATGGGGCGCCTCTCTTAACTTGGTCGAGGATACATTTGCTAGTAGAATATTCCCTACTTTACATCCAATTCTACTCTGCACAAAAAGTACTACTCCTCACAAGTGCTAGTCCGATCATATTTTTGAGGCAGCCTCTTCCTTTTCTTTATCTGCCCTCTCCAGCCGACGATAGGAAGATCGTTTGCGCGTGTATGGCAACCGGCAGAATTGCAGAAACCACTAAGTGCGGAACTCTCCTAATATCGACATCATGATTAAACCTGAAGACAATGATACTGAGTTGGGGCATTTGAAGGCGTTGGCCATTTAGACGCCAAAGACTTGGCTACACAAAGGATAGTCACACTCTGCCAGCTTAGCCTATTTTGAACCATTTCCCGAAGGTCATAGTGGGATGTCGGATAAATCTTGACAATGCGTGATTGTTTTATAATAGCTAGTCCCAACGCCATTGTGCCATCTGGGGTATTGGAAAGCGCCGACGACTCATTGACAGATATAGTCCTCCTTACTAATTAATGGAAACCTTGGCCTTGGCGCCTACAAACTTTGCAGAGTCGAAGAAACCTCGAAAATGTTAGTCACAGCATGTACAAGAGAGACCCTTCCTCCTTTAAGTCATAAAACCTAATTAGAGCAACATTTCGTAAAGGTGCAGAGCGATTGTGATGCGAGGATAATAGGGAAGAGTATCAATGGACGAGGTGAAGAGTATGGGTGTCATGAATTTACTTATCGTCAGATTTTCGAAGCTAATAAGCTGCAGAGGTTGAATCGTTTCGACGAGGACAAATTAATGATGGTTCAAGGATGTGAAGGTGCGAAGGTGCGAATTGGTTACAAAGAAACGAGTAGAGTAATCGAAGTTCGGAATATCAAGGTTACAAATTCGTATGTAAAATTACTAAAATATCGAATTTCAATTAAGCAAATCTTTAAAAAACTGAAGTTGCCAAATTTGTTAGAACCAGGGAACTAATGCAAATGTCCAGTCTGACCGAATTAAGAAAATCACCCCTGCACCACCTCATCCAGATTATATCATTCAAATTCATAACAACGAGTCAGGCAAATATAAGAAATATTTTTATTTTTGAATCCATTGGTTCCAAGCTAATGATCTACTTCCACTGTGGGTGTAGGACTGGTTGAGCGGGTAGGTATCCTTGAGGTTTCTTGTGCACGTTAGTAAGAATAAAATGATAAATGTTGACTGTGAAATTCACGGATGTCTCGTGGCTCCGACTACGACAATCTATATGTGTGTAGAGCTTGAGACTAGGTGTAAACTTGTATTTTATTAACGTTCTATTTCCTCCTTAAATACATGAATTCCTCTATACTCCAGATAATATAACGATCAATGATACATGACAAGTAAACTATCAGAATACAGTAGGAGAGGAGTGAGGTGCTTAGCCGCCCGAATTGTGACCAAAGAATGCGAGGGGTGCATTCTTGATGGAACCTCAAACTCGGCGTCTCGCCTAGACTCGGAGCTCAGCGGCTCGCTTGCCGTGAGACTTGGCGTTACGCTCGGACTTGGAATTCAGGATCCTCATCCCTATGATTTTTCCCACAGTGTTAGGGGGGCGAGGTACGATGTCAACGTGATAAAGAGTCTGGTGGATCAAGGTTAGGTTTAACTAACTGAACATGACTTAATCTTTATCTAGTGCGCGCTTCACTCTATTTGTACCACGTCAACAAACTTTCGGAAATTGCTTTTTTATCAACAACCTCTGCTCACCATTAGCTACGACATAATAACCTCGATTTTCAGTGTCGCCAAGTCAACAGCATTCCATTGATATATTTTTCGTCATCTGCATTCCCTCTGCACAAAACTTTTGCTCAGCCTTGCCAAGGCGCGACGCGTTCAGGACGCGTGATCAGGTGTTAAAAGAATAAAGCACGTGACTTCATGTGAGATTACTATTATTATTTAAAAAAAAGAGGGCAAAAGTATTGTTAAAAATAAATTATCAATAACTTTACAAAAAGTTACATAACATTATATTCTTAGTTACTACATCTAGAATGAGTTTAAGCTCTCTGGTATCATCCATGGAATTCCCTTCTTCTCCTCTAACTCAAAAATCATTTGATTTCAAAAATTTTTCTAGGCTCTCTGACTCTATGTGGAGCTCTAAAAGGACTGCAAAAGTAAACATAACAAAATATACCTAAAATAATTTTACAAAAGAGTCACTAAATGGCCCTTTTAGCAGTGACCCTATTACTGCACAAGATTTAGTTCCAGAATTTTCAACAACAAAATTATTGCCAATCAAGCAAATAAAGAGAAAGTTTCAATAAACAAATCCAACAGTTGTTCAAGCCACCAAAGTTATGAGAATAGGCGCGCCAAAAATTACACTTCAACTCACCTATTTATCTGCGATACAGGAAGCAAGAGATCTAATTTTTAAAGCATATTATTTAACAAATAATATGCATAAACAAGATGCTGTTTTAGATTTAGCTGAGGTTTTCCGAAATTTCACTAAAATAGGTAGAGCTAATTTAATCAAAATTGACAAGACTACTACCAAAACATCAACACCAGAGACACAAATACTATCAATAACATCACCACCTAACAGAATTCTACCAGTCATATCCTATGCAGAGATTCTAAAAAGCAATGCACCTGGAGCCCCAACAATAAATTTATCTAGGACTAGCAATTCAATGAAAGTATTGGGAAAATCAGCTGTCCAAGAGAATAAAACTACAGCAACCAAAGAGGCTGAAGCCGTGATACAACTAGTCATATTATCAGCAGCAAAAATTACAGAAACTTCTGTATCAGCTCCGGTACATGATGACACTGTGATCACTTTGGTCACAAAACCGGGCGCAACTCTTCCAAACTACCAGACTTTCACAATAAGAGAAAGTATCAATAAGATACTAGGAAGATGGGCCATTTCCAGGGTACGTACCTCCATCAAGGGAAATGTTGTCCTTACATGCATGGACTCTTCTCCATCAGAACTCCTTCTCGACCAAGACAAATGGGAATCTGTATTTGAAGGATGGCCTATTCAAAATGCCCAAAAGATTAGCCATTGGCCAAAAGTAGTGGTACATGGAGTTCCCACCTATGTTTCAATTGAGGCAATCAATGAAGAAATAGAAGTTTACAATAAAGGGATTGAAACTCAAGGTCAGCCAAGATGGCTCACCCGGACTTATCAACAGAGAGTGAAAGCTTCTTAAACTTTTTCGGTTACTAATGATACCAAAAAACAACATCTTTTGAAGGCAGGGGTACTTATTGGAGGTCACTGTGACGGCTTGTGAGCCGATAAGTCCTGTAGCCTTCGATGGCTATCGAAGGCAACCTATATTCTCTATCACTCCAAGGATTATCAGCAGACGAAAACTGATACGAGATTGCCACTGAGGCTATGTAAAGGATAGTGCCAAGAGTATCGGAAGCGTGACCCGTGTGGCAGAACAAACCTCTTGTCAGTTTCATTGCCACTGTAAGCGTAGGCTAGATTTAGATACCTCTGGATGTGTTTAAGTAGTAGAGTAGACTTGCAGGTATTCTGCTTCTACATAGATGAATTATAGCTTTATCTTTCAATCATACAAATGCCCATTCGCTTTCTATATTCGAACTGTGACAGTCTTACCCCATTCAGAGGATTGTAGAAGAGAATTTGTAAGAAAGTTAGAGTTTTCTGTGAGTGATTTTTGAGTTGCTAGTATGTGTTAAGGTTACGAGTTAATTGGGAACATAGTTACTTGGAATGTGTCACAATGTTTGTTCGGATGGTTTGATACTTGGTAACTTGATTGCTGACAGGTGTCTAATACTTTTCCGATGCTGTTCATGAGACAGAACATAGACTACTTATCACTCTAATATGACCCTTGTCATTGTCTACGCTCTCTCTCCAGACTTACTGCCGACAGCGTGCCTAGGTAAAACTCTGCAGCTCATGAGTCCATTTCTCATGAGAGGCATCCGCTGTTCCGGTGGCTGGCGCGCGTGGTCCGAGTACGCGTCGCTGCAATGCCTCAATCACTTACGTGTAATATCCCAGCTGAGCGATCCTGAACCTAGCTGTTCAGGAACGACAGCAATCTAGTCCATGGTTCGCGCCTGTGGCTTGTATACACACCACAGCGTCGCTCCAATCGTTCCCATACAATGTCTCAGCTTCGCAGTCCTTAGTGTAGTGTTGGAATCAGGCATATCACGTGATGTACTGTAACAGTACATAATAATTAGCTAGTCATAACACAATGAAAAACGTGATGAATGTTTGGAAAAGATAGGCGCTGTTGGCCGAACAGCGGGAGTCTATTCCTTTACTCAATGG